AGTCAGTCAGTCAGTCAGTCAGTCAGTCAGTCAGTCAGTCAGTCAGTTAAAGACTCATGTTCTAACCATCCCTGACCCACGACAGTGAGGGACGGAAGCCTGAGGGGTTGATGGCCACAATGGATTACTCTTGCCGGTCGATCTACAGATGATGCAGTATAATTTGATCAAGCAAAGGTTCTAGATTCTAGATGTTTTGCTCTCAAACACAATGGAACCAAACCAAACACACAAAGTCTGTGGCTCGAGACGGTGGAACACCTCCCACTCCGTGGCTTTGACCTGATGGACAACAACCGTTTTCAACAAGGCCCCGGCCAGCTTTCACGGCTCCTTCCCCTTCATTGTTATTCTCAGCTTCCCAGAACCAAGTGGTAAAACGCTAAGCCCCATGTCCCATGGTTATGAGTTTGTTGTATGTTGATAGGGAAGGCATCTTGCACACCCTGAGACCTAAAACACTGTCCTTGCAAAGAGTTAAAGCCGGGATAGCCTATAGTATCCTATAGTCTATAGTGGCATCCCTGCTACAAACCCCTCTAGTCTAACTGGTCAATTTTAACCGTCAACCTTCCACCATGCCGGTGATGCTTCGCTGACGCCAATCCGCGCCTGTCGTCCTTCCCAGGGGCAGCGCGAGGATCGCGAGGAGGCCTGAGACGACTGGCTCTCCAAGCGGCCCGTGCCGGAAGATCACCGCGCCGGGTGCTGGATTGGGGAACGGGTCCGGCTTGCCACCCATCCGCTTGGTTGAACCACAGGAGCCGTTTTTTGTTTCTTCTTTTTTAACGACGCTGTTGTGACTGGAGATATGTTTTTCCTGTCAGGGCGCAAGCTGCCCAACATTGTCCAGGACAAGCTATATAGGATTCGCTAGAGCATCTCTTGAATACATAATCTATATATCTACTATACATTTAAGACTATATTTAAAGAGATAATGTATACAAGGGGATTACAATGGAGCAATGCCATTCAAAACAAGACCCGAAAAAGGACCCCTCACACGCAATGCTTGCAAAATACAAGCCGATCGCCTTTCAATAGAATCTCGTCAAACTGGCATGGACGTGTGTTCTCTTAGTTTTTCTCTGCGCTTTGAACTGCAGGAGTGGCATGATGTCGCGGCCTTTTGCCACACCATCGCTCAGCTCCATTAAGTCTGGCTTTCGCGGTATCTCTCAGTATCAGGGACTACGCATGATGATGGAACGATCCAAAGGCCAGATTCCCAAAAAGAAAGCGATCAACTCGGCTTTGAGCAATCACCCCAACTCGCCAAAGTCTTTGGGCCCACGTCTATGGGAGGATCAGCCGCCCAGCGCCGGCCCTCACCAATTCTTCACCACGCACATGTTGCGTCGACACTGCAGCGCTCGCAGTTGGGGGTAGGCTGTCCTCTCCGGAGTCGATCCCTTACGAAGAAGGTGTCGCAGCAGGGAAGCCATGAAGTAAAGGCTGTTCCTGAGCCCATGAAGTACAGGTCTGAAACTGAGTGTACAGGTATTATAGAGTCAATAGTTTGTTGGATTGTTTGAAGTGTACACGGGGGTTATGGGTTCGGATTCCTTATGCTTCTTATATAGTATTCTGTTTTGTCTGATTGTTTGCTTTTTCTGCTTTCTGCTTTTCTTTTCCTGCTTTCTTCTTCAGCTAAGAATATACATCCCCCCTCAATTACACCAGTAGACATATAAATACATGTCATGGCTGGAAACAAAATGGGAGGACACAATCTACTCAGTTGGAAGCTGTGAGACACCCAAGTGACCTCTTCACAGCCGCGACTCGGCTGCATGGGGCCCATCGCTTCCCACCACGTTTTGGTTCTAGAAAACGAACGGTTCATTTTCTGGTGGGAAGGACTAGGCCACTAGAAAATGAAGGGGTACAAGTTCAATGGTTGTGCCCAAAAAATGCTCCCAACATGTCTTGAAGTGTTCCCACATGTTCCAAAAATGTTCAATATTGCCGATGACCGCCAATGATCGCCAGCATCAAAAAAAGAAATCGAAAACCAGACTCCCATAGATACTACTAGAGTTTCCCCTTTTAGTCTCTCCGTTACTCCTTTCATGTGTTGGCGTCGCGCTGTATTGTCCAAAATGAATCTCTTAAGAATGCGTACGCTATGTATATATATATATAACATGATTATTGAAACCTGGAGAGGCCTACGCCCCTGCTATGAGCTCACAACTCACCAAATGTTCCTTCAACAAAAAGCCGATGGCTGCAAAAACTAATTGACTCTCCACCCATGAGCCAACAAGTACCATGCTACAAAATCTTGGGCCTCAACCTCTCCCTGGGCACTCATTTCCATATCAAATTCAATATGTTCATTGTTCATTTTGTAGCCAACGGCCCCGCCTTTGCAATCAATGTTCTCTCAAAAAGAAAATCGACACCTTGAACATGGAGACCGTGATTTTATGGAGTTTTGAACCCGGGGGTTGCCATTTCATAGAATGGCATCCCCGGGTATTAACCTAAATCGCAGGGGCCTGTAATATTCTTGAGTTAATTCGCTCACCGGATATTTTCTCTGATCGTGATAGGATATGTGCTTCAGGTTCTAGGATGTTCTAGGTAGGTGACTGGACTACCCGGGCTACCCAAAGCTTTCTGGTCGAACCTATGCTGCCAAGAATCCCTGGAGCTTCCTGACCCGCGAGAGCGCTATCACGATACATGCTCCGATAGGCGCTGGAGCCCAGATCTTCGATAAAGTAAAGGCCTTTTGAACCCAGCATCGGGTATAAGGACAGGAAAGATGTAATGATGTCCTGACTGGGCCAACAACACAATTATAACAACAAACAATGGACTATATAGCGGGGTGAACACATATCACAAAAAGGTCTCTATAGTCTATAGTTCATGTCAGTTGTCATCATGTAAGCAGGTCATTGTGTATTCTTGGTAAGTTGTCTTTCGATGCCAGGACTGCAGAATTGTGGGTCTAAATTTGATCCAGGACCTTCTTTGTTGCAGTGTAGAAGGCTTATACATGGACATGCATATCTAATGATATCTTAGATGAACGGAGAAATTGCGAACATGGGGCCCAGGCCCGTACCGAAATCAAGGATTGGAACTGGCACATGCTATACATATTATATAAATGAAGGAATTACCATGAATTACCGTAAATTGTAAAGGAGCCTGTTCTGTCTTTCCGCGGGCGATGAGCTTCTGGATGAAACATGATGAAACTACGAACAGGGAAACTTCGGAAACAACTAAGCATCTAGTCTATATTAACTGCATATCTGGAACCATCCCGGAGTCTCCAAAGCATCGACCTAGAAGAGTGCTTTGCAATTACCAGTTAACGTTAAATTTTAAAGGTACAAATTGTCGTGACTTCAGAATTCGTCCCAAACGTTTCCATTTCAACGGCCCAAGTCTCTTGAGATTGATGCGAGCCATCGTCAATGATCACTGAAAGTTGTCCCGAGCAGCCATCATAAAGATCATCCTTCAATCTCTCGAGATCTTTGATGCTGCTCTGGTCAGCAATGTGAACCGTGTAGTTCTGCCGGTTCAGAAAATCTTGGCCCATGTTCCTTGGGGCAAATGCGTTTGCAAACTGTGAAGGTCAGTGTAAAGGATTGAGTCTTCCAGGAGGTCAGTTTCAGCAGGTCAACGTCCCAATGGATTGCAAACACCGCCCAGGGCAATACAGAGATCGCCACCGCCTCAATGTCCCAGCTGGTCCCTGCCCTTCCCCCCTCCTCATCCCCCCTTCTCATCCCTGCCCTAGGCGGCCAAAGCTCTGGACACAGGCCTTGTTGTGGTCCACCATGTGCACCTGTGTTTGGGGGTAAAGCTCTGCCCAAAGTCGTGCGGAAGCGCCCACGTCGTAGGACATGCCGCAGCCATAGCCAATCTCCAGGAAGCAGGACCTCAAGAGCCGGTGGGAGGTGCCAAGGGATGTTTCCCCTCAAATGGCGGTAACTATAGGGTTTCTTACTTCAAACCAGAATAAGCAAACCCTATAAGAATAAGGGTTTGATAAAAAAACAAGCGTGAATGTGGCTGCTGCGCGCACTTTTGAGACAGGATGTCGGTGCTGGATGCGACAGCGCCTGTGCTGTGAGGCCCTGTGGCGCTGTTCCGACAGGGTGTTGGCCTGAGTGCTGGTGCCGGTGGTGTGAGCTGGCTGTCTGCGTCGACACACATATATATAATATATATATATATATAATATATATATTGCATATTATATATATCAGTTACATTATGTTGACATGGTGCAGCCATGCTCTGTGAAACGTGAGTGCAACTGTTGTTTGATTGTCGCGTAGCATGTTTCTTGTTTGTCCTTGCAATGATTTGCACGCTTGCGCATGGTGCCTGTGAACCCTGGAAGCTGTCTGTTAGCGCGTATATTCTTGTAGGCATATACTGGCATATATACTTATTGCCCAACATCATATTGTTTGATCAATGCATGTGTTGAGGCGCATTGTAATGTTGATAAAGCCATGTTTGTTGAAACGTGAGACTGGTCCAAAGGCCACATAAGAACACAGGAATCTCCAGAGTACCATCGTATTTCGACTAGTCTGGCCCTGCGTTGCTCTTGCTATGTTTGAATACTTGTGATGTTTGTGAAGCCTAGGAGCTGTACTGCCTGCGCGCATATTTGTGTACGTATATTTGTGCACGCAACATCCCGTTGTACGGGGGCAACACATGCTAGAGCAGCATCTGCAATTGTTCTGCGCGTCGGAATGTGAGTCTCCCCACATATTGATCTTATTGGCCTGTTTGATTGGCGCTTTGTTGGGCCCACTCACGGTCACTGGAAGCTCTCATGGATTTCTTTGTCTCACGTGCTTCTGTTGTTTTTAGAGTTATATAGTTTCTATCTGGGTCTCTGCCAGTGTAATTTAGTGGGAACGCCCAGTAGGATGAATCTGGGTGCTCAATAAGAAGCCGTGTACACTGCTGTCAGGATCATTGAGAGCAAATGTTCGAAGAATCTACTTGATCTTACTTGTAGATCTTGTAGTTCAATCGGGTGCTGTACTGGGATGTCATGTGACGCCATTTCTTCTGTTGTCTGTCTGGCACGCGCCGACTATATAATATATATATATAGTACTAATATATATATATATATTATATACTATGTAAAAACATCCCCCTCCGAAAAAGGACTCTGCCAAGTGTCCCTGGCTCCAAGGTCTCAGGTAGCACCCGGTCATAGATCAAATGGTAAGAGTGGCGCCAGACCTTGTCCTCAGTTCATGAAGCAGTTTGTGCGTTCCCCGTCAGCCGCTGGCTGCCGCCCTAGTGCATTCCTGAGAATGAAAGAACTCAAGTGGACGGCGTGGACACCGTGGAGGCCTTCACTGAACGCCTTGGCTGCTGGGTGCTAGGCAGCGAGCCACTCTTGTTCCACCAAAGCAGGCCCAAGGCCAGTGTGCAGCATGTGTAAGAAATTGAATTGCCCGAGGTGGTCAACATCATGTTGGATCTTGATGACTCACCCACCGAGCCCTTGTAATTTGGATGCTTCAAGACATCTAAGTACTGTCTGGACCAGGTTAAGATCAAGATCGCTACAAAAGATCGATGTGAGTGCCAAGGCTGAAAACTTCAATCCCCAAGTGATATAGTTTGGAATGTATACTGCATAGATCCCATATCCCAAGTCCCATCCCAAGACTTCGGTTTGGATGCGCCCAAGTCTCTGTCTTGCAGGCCTCACCCAGTTGCTTCATCCTCCCAGCCACACGCCGTTGCCAGCGCCAAAGCCGCCCGCGGCCGCCGGTTTTTACGCCGGTGGCACCCCGAAGCGCCAGGCAGCCGCAAGCGGTGCAAGCGAACTCTTGGACGTCCAAATCCACCTCCGTGCATAAGTGGCCCAGGAGAACTCGTGAAATCGTACACTCCCGAAAACTCACATGGTTACGTGGAAAACACCCTGGTTTGTAGAGGATTCCATGGTCTTCCAAGAGGCCATTCTCCACTTCTTAGTTTGAGGGTGTGCTCCCTGAAATCATGGAAGTGGAGCATGGGCCGGAAGACTGTTCTCCTCTACAAAGGAGTGGTTAGCTTCAATGTTTGTTGGAGGGAGGGTAACTGAACACCCCAAACCTTTCTGTTCTTTTTGACCCCTCATGTCAGTACCAGAAAAACACCGGTCACCATATGCATCCAGCTGCCACTTTGAAGTCTCAAAGAGCCACGAAAAGGAGACCTCTTGGAGGGTGCTGGTACATGTGTCATACGAGGATGTGTCAGATGTGTCAGCGTGAAGGAAACGACTATTCACTATGGCCTCAGCTGCGGAAACGGTTGACAGTAGGCGTTTTCCAAAGCAATTCCCTGGTAGATCCATTGGGTCTGCAGTGTATTGAATGTGTTTTTACCCGTCGTTCCAGGAGCTGGTGGGCTGTCACTATCCAGGAAGAGGTTTTTTTTGCCCAGAAACATGCTTGATGATCAGAATTATGTCATCAGGACCAGCAGAGTCTGCCTCTCCGCACGCTGGAAACAAAACGCGCCTGTGAATGGCTCCTCTCTTGAGTGGCAAAAAGCAGCCTGGATTTGCTGAAGAACGGAACAGGGGAACGGGGTGGTTCGGTGGATGCCGCAAGGCCAAGGCGGCCTACAGTGGATTGGGAGTAGATTGCACAATCACCTAAAAGGCGGTTTATTTGGATCCCCATCTAAAAGATATCTTGGGGGTTGTGCCATCTACTCTGAAACCACAGTAAGTCTTTGGCTGGCTATGTTTGGGGATGGGACAAGCTCCCCGGCTCGGCTACGGGGGGCATCGCCAGTGGAAGACGTTCAACACATCCTCCGTCATGTTAACACGTCATGGAAATCGCAGTTCCCATGAGGGAAAATCCAAACACTTCTGCTCTTCCAGAAATCTTGACAGGCTTCACACATAAAACCACCACCCCCAAACAAAATCAATTTGGGGCAGCTTTTGGTGGATAATAGGCTGTGCGCGCTGCACCTCCATCTCCCCCAAAAAAGAACTTCTGACTTCCGGCTGATGAGATGCCAATCTACTGAAGTGATCCTGCCACTGGGAATCCTTGTATTTGCTCTGGGTGACTTTGCCGACCCAGCGCTTGCACTGCCCTCCTCTATACCAGTGTCCTCTGTGGCAGTAGTCCAAGTGAATCCATCCTAGGCAGTCAAGGTCTGGAGCTCTATCTGATCCTATATGACAGGGAGCTCCCTCACAAGAATCGTCACCGCAAGCACCTCAACCACTGCAGCACCAGCCTCTTCAGCAGCTCGAAGTGTTCCGTACCCCTCACCGCCAGCACCGCTAAGGGCGGCAGCTGACGCCAAAGCTCCACCAACGCTGACGCCGTGCTCGCGGGCGCGGCTTCTGAGGTTCGAGACCGGCGCCACGGGAGGATGTAAAGGGCCCGGCTGAGGTTCGAGACCTGTGGGCCCACGGCACGGCGATGACCGAAGGTCACATCCTGTTTGACGACAAAAGGGATGTTTTGCTTTCGACGAGCATTGGAATGTAATGATTGTGAATGATGTGAATGATGTGAATACTTCATGTGAATGATTGCGAATGTGAATGTCCATATCCTCTTGTTTTGACCAGCTAACTATAGCTAACTCTAGCAACAAAAACGCAACAAACCCAACTCCCCTCTCCACCCTCTTATAAAAAACACACAACGCACACATGCACACAGACACACACACCTCCCTTACCTGGGATCTGCGGCCAAAGACCGGACAAGAACCGCCCCAACTGATCGATCTTCCTGCCTTCTCATCCAGTCTCAGAGTCACCTGAAAAGCAACGGCACCGGTCTCTACCGAGCTGCGACGGCGTGCGCAGCTCGGGGTGGCGTGGTGGCATGGTGTCGGTCCAGTCTTACCATTCACACAGTTTAGACCAAGCAAAACTGATCAAGCATCCCCGTCACAGGTCCCACTCTTTTGAGGGTCATGGGCAGTGTTCCCCCCCATGACCCTCATCCCGCCCAAAACTGCGTCGTGCTGCCCGACCTTGGGTAGCTCTGTGAAGTCCACCACGGGCCTTGACGAAAGGGACAGGACAAAATCCACTGATTGATAGACCAAACCTTAACAGAAGGGGTACACTGTGACTCACTGAAGCTCAGTATACGCGGGAAATGGAACAGGGTCGTTTGAAAAGCTGCCTCTGCAAAAAAAAGGCGTTGTCCACTTCCATGTTAATGACTTTTCCAAAACCACCCGGACCCTTCGCTTCAACTGTGTCGGGTGCGCAGTCGGGTGCGCTGCGGAAAAAAAACTCACTTGGGTGATTGATAGAGCCTTCCAACTCCCATCCATTTCACTTCAAAGCTCGGCGGTCAGCTGGTCGGCATGAGCCCTGCCTCGAAACCTCTTCCATGACTTCTGAGAGCCACAGATCCTCCTCACACCGCGCCGCACTCCCTGCAAGGAAAGCACCAGCAACGAGGCACCATCTGCCGACCATGGCCTATGAGAGCAAGAATTCATCAACAGTTAAATGCTCAATACGTAAACATATACTGTACATAAACGACATATACTCATGTAACATTCGGCTGGTCTCCAGCTACATGTTACATCATGTTACTGACAACTAACCTAGAACCAAATCTGGGGCAATGCTTCATTCATCAGGAGACGCAAACATTAAAAAAAAAAATGTGCTTCGATGTAAAGCATCTGAGGGCGGTCCATGTCTCCAATTTAGAGGGGAAACCATGAGCCCACACTGCATCCCACACACCATGAGGGGTCCTGGCCCTACATGTGACATACTTTTTTGATTTTTTTTGGGATGACATCGGACGACAACGGAGAAACGTTTTGGACACTCTGTGCACGGGAAAGCATCTGTGGGAGGGTGTGGTGGTGGCACACTCAATTTTACAAGCGGCCTCATACTGTCAATATGGTGATGCTCTTTTTCTGGTTGCAGGTATTGAACCAGAACTCACCTTGAGACGCTCAAAATGCCCAGTCCGGAACTGAGTGCATGCTTCTGTATCTTGTTCACATCGCCCTCACCTGGTCACCTGAACTTCGTTTCCTTTGGCCCATCCGGACTCCGGGTGAGAAAGCCTGTGTTTCTGTAAAGGCAATGTCTTGAGCCAAAGGGACATCAGCTCTGCGATTCCACGGGTGGCCGTCGTTTCTGACCCCATCAAAAACAAGGAAAACACCTGCATGCAGTGTGTCTTACTGGTCTTCACACTTGCTCAAACTCAGATGATCAAGCCACCAGCCCCGAGAAACCAGCCAAACGGCCTTCAAAAACCTTGGACATGCCAATGGCCTTCAGGTCACTGGCTGTTGTTGGGGAGCCCTGAGGTGCTCTCACAGCTTTTTCCTGGGTGTGGCCAGGCCATCGCCTCTTGTCCCGCCGATCCGGATCGGCCAATCCGAACAGGGAACTCCTGCGATGGCCATTCTCTCCCTCTCTCTCTCTCTATATATATACAGTTGGGTTACACCCCACTACCAGTAACAGTGGATGATGATGGTGAGTAAACACCTTTCCCCCCATCATGATTCTACCGACTGTCACTGGTAATAGGACATGATACAGTACATATCCAGTAGGTGTCCAAAAGGATTAGCCGAGACCGCGAGTCGAGCTCTTCGCTCTTCCTTTCTCCAAACTCCAACCGCGGCGTCTCGCTCTTCTCTCGGACCGACCCCAAGAGGCCAACGATCGGACATGGTGTTCCAAAAAGTTTCCAAACATGGGTTTGAAATGGTTTGAATCTGTTTTGCCTCATCTCCTGGGACCTCCCCCCATGTGACCGCAATGGAATGCACAGGTGTTAAAACCGACATTGACAGTTCAATCGTGCCAGAAAAGGACAGTTCAATCAACCTGTATATCAACGGATCCAACTTTGTCTGTCCTCTCGGCATGTTCAGGTCAAATCCAAAACCCCACCGGCGCTATGTTCACCAAACCCACCCTTCCACTGGGCGCCCAGTGCCGGAGAGGTGGAGCGTGGACTGCACCGTGGGCGGCAGGGATCCACCTCCAGCCTTCGCCTGTGCACGGAGACTGGTGGAAACGAGACGGTCGTATCTGACCAACTGCAAACTAAACTATACTAAACTACTGTAAATGGAATTGTTGATGGACCAAGGCGAAAACAGGTTCGAAAGAGGACCCTGTGTCTTTTGTTAGCGATTGGACCTTTACAAGAGTAACTGGTCGCTGCATCTCTAACATTAGGAAAGGATTTGAGTAATGTTGACTCTTTGATATGGCTCCATCAGGTTCTCAGGTCAGTAAGATGCATTGACAAAGCCCAATGCGACTTGCAGCCGGCCGAGTATGACTCCTGAACCCGAAAAAGGCCTTACATGGCCTTACACTTCACCGCCGCTGGAGATAAGCTTGGTCGGGTTACAATTTCAACCGGGAACCCTTTGAACCGTTTTAAGAGGAACAGTTCAGGAAGAATCCAACATCCAATGTAAGGCCAGGCCAATGGCCAATTAAATATCTTAGACTGATTCACCATACCTACAGATTCAAACCTGTTCAGTCCCAGACTTGCCGTCAGCCCTCTTCAGGCCGACCGATTACTCCTACGGTGCGACGGCGAAGCTGCTACCTGGATGCTTTGGAAAGCGCTCCTGGATGGATCGGCGCGTTGGCACCGAGCTTGGTGGGTTGGTCCGTTGATGTCGGCCCGCCCTAAGTACTAAGGACCAACGTCGCGACGGTCAACGGGAAAACGGTGCGTCCAAAAAACCATCTCAGGGTGATTGGCGCATCTGGCTGGGGGTTCGAAAGCCGAGCAGTGAGGTGGAGCTTTCTTCAATCCGTTGGTTTTTTTGGGGCATTCCATGTCAGATTCCAGCTATTGTGGAAAAGTGTGGGGGGGTTCTGGGCCTGTCGTAGTTTGCCCGCTTCCCAGAAACTACATAGGACTAGACGACAGGGTGGCCCGAAAGCAAGTAGGCGGAAGAGAACAAATAGAAGGGAAGAAAAGCGAAGTAACAGAAGATGAATGAGCACTAAAGAAATGAAGAGATGATATATGATGATTCAAAACATTAAGATGAAACAAAATGAGATGATGATGAGATGACACAATATATAATATATATATATATCTATATATATATACATTATGATTATGATACTATTATCACGTTATTACCAAATCTATTAATGTATATTCTGTTGCACTGTACTTCGGAGCCCAAACGGTAGTCCCGGTCGATTCTTTTTTATCCAGCGCCGGTCGAGCTCAAACGCTAGTCCCGGTAGTAAGAGCCGCCGAAGTGTGCGAAATCGCACGTCCCAACCTGGCATCAGGACAACCAATGCTCATACAAATGCAACACTTGAAAAACAAAACAAATTACCCACAGTTCAACTCATGTTGTTTTGTCGGTTATCAGATATAGTTGCACCAGACAAAAAGGTCTTACCGCAGACGAGGTTTACACCAGACAAAACCGACAAAGGTTTACACCAGAAAGAGTTTACAGCAGAGACAGTTTACACCGGACAGCGTTTACACCAGACACCGTATACACCAGACACGGTTTACACCAGACGTCGTTTACACCAGACAAAGCCAACAAAGGTTTACACCAGAAAAAGTTTACACCATAGACAGTTTACACCAGACAGCGTTTACACCAGACACCGTTTACACCAGACATGGTTTACACCAGACATGGTGGAAACCATTGCAGCAGCAATTATAAGGCGATTAGCAACAAAAGATTGCAAAACACCACGTAACTACGCACTGAACGATGACACAGGAACACCTTCGAGCCAGAACTATAAGGCGAATAGCAACCAAAGCGTGTAAAACACCATGTAACTACGCACCGAACGATGACACAGGAACACCTTCGAGCCAGAACTATAAGGCGATTAGCAACCAAAGATTGCAAAACACCATGTAACTGCGCACCGCAAGCACAGAGAATAGCCTCCCAAAACCGGATCTCGACGTCCAAGCTCCAAAAATTGCGATTTCGAAGCGTTTTTTAAAAGAGATTTATAAGAAAAATGAAAGCGGCAAAACTTGGAAAAAAGTACGTTGGAAACCATTGCAGTAGCAATTATAAGGCGATTAGCAACCAAAGCTTGCAAAACACCACGTAACTGCGCACCAAACGATGACACAGGAACACCTTCGAGCCAGAACTATAAGGCGATTAGCAACCAAAGCTTGCAAAACACAATGTAACTACGCTCCGAGCGATGACACAGGAACACCTTCGAGCCAGAATTACAATGGGGGAACGCTCCGGGCACAGACCATGGAATCGCATTTCCCAACGAGTATGAAGTCCGCAGCGCACATTCGCGACATC